GATGAAGAGAGAGAGAGAGAGAGAGAGAGAGAGAGAGAGAGAAGGGGGGAGGGAGGGTACAGACAACGTAGAAAATGAAAAAAGATGCTAGGACGGGAGGCAAAAATGGTAACACAATTTCTGAGATTATTTATATTTCTATGTAACGTTTACAAATGTTATTCTCCGTCTCTTTCTTTGCTGTGAATCTAGAAGGTCGTGTTACAGATTCTATAATATTTTTCAAAAGAGTCTATGATACATTCCTACATGTTGATCGAGAAATGCATATGATGTTATATGCTTTAATGTTCTCTTCATATTGCATCTGATGCACGATGCTTTTATTTTCAGCTCATGTTGAAATCCTCTTTTTTAAATTATATAACTTGAGTGTTTTGTATCTATTATGCATAAATGTTTTATCATATCTGAAAGCCAAGAAGTATTCTCCCCTGAATAAAAAAGCATTGTCCCATTTTATCTATGCTATCTTACCTTATCTTAACTTATCTTATCTTATCTCATCTCATCTTATCTATCTTAAATGTTACACTGTCCGAATATAATAATATTATAATAAGAACACAAGAGTAAATATATTTGGTACACTCACTTGACTGAACCCAGGAGCTTTTATTCTCAAATGGCAATTATGTGTCGTATTAGCAGCAAACCAGAGACAATGTTTCGGCAAATTTTAAACCGATCATAAACAAGTCAGAAACACGATTTCACATTCCTCATAGAATGCACAGTTTGGCCTGCTTCTTAAGTTTCAGAGTAGGAAAAAAAAAGATCTGAGTGAGTGACGAAGTTATACTTCTTTTGAAAATGCCTCAATTGTTGAATAACCAGAATAAAAATTCCCCTTTGAGATAATCCTCTTGTCTTACTTACCTATAAAGAAGACAACTGAAGACCTCGTGTAAAACGGTGACAGTCCAATCTTCACAATCAACGACAACTTGGGCAATTGGTGGGTTAGGAAGAAAACCAATTGCTGTTTGGTGACACAAGGAATCAAGACGGCAACTGAATTCAGTGTTTGAAACAGATATAGTCCAAAGTATTCAGTTGTCAAATCCCAACATTTTCACTCGGAAAACGCACCTAATGTAAAAAATATATATATACATATTATATTTAAAAAAATAGAAATTGTGCTACTCTCGTTCAATTAAATTATAATACTTTTTTTCAGCCGTACTTTAAGTAAAAGCGGTCGTTTTGTGAAACCAAGTAATTAGTATTTGAAAAATTGTTGTTTTCCTATCATACAATTAGTGGACATACTTTATGTTATTTTTATCCTCCCACATGAACCAGAGAGGTCAACTAAAAAGCACAGGTGCTAACGCTTCACGTCCCTCCAACAAAATGAGCGCAATTACTGGTCTTGAAAACAAATTGTACAGTCGTAGCAGAATTGTACCACGTTCCTGCTGAAGTAAGCTTAGGCAATTATTGCAAAACTGTGTTATGTTCCATCTGAAAGTAAGTTAAACTGCATCATGTTCCATTCAAAAGTAAGTTTAACTGCCTCGTGTTCCATCCAAAAGTAAGTTTAAATGCATTGTGTTCCTTCCGAAATAAGTTTAAGCAGTTATGACAAAACCGCATCATGATCCATTCCAAGTAAATAACGCATTTATCGCAAAGCTGTATTAAGTTCCATCGGAAGAAAATAACCGAATAAAACTGGACGAGTCCCAGCGACGTCCGGTGAAAAAGTTCCAAGGCAGCATATTGGCCCAGGAGAGTCTTTCCTCAGACGTCAGCCCCCAGCCCTGATGACGTCGAAGCCCCAGGAAAGCCAGGTCCCTGGGTGGAAGTGACACCAATAAGCGGGCCGTCCCAGGCGCGATACCGCCCGCACATCCTTCTGATCGAATCCAAAACTTTGGAACAAGGGGAGTAACTCTAGACATTTCCTACTCCGGACATTAGGGGCTTCTCTTGACTACGGGACGTTCGCTTGAGACTTAGTTATGGCTCCTCGTTTTGTCATGTGTGACAGTTATCGAGTCCCTGAAAAGCGAGTTGTCGATTAGCTTAAACCTGTGGATTATATTACTTTATCTGGTCTGGTGCCTGGGTGCCAACATTTGATTGTAAGGCTCTCAGTTATGTAGGTCGTAAAGAGGTTTTAGTCCAGGGCGAAGTTAAATGGATCACCAAGCCAAAATGTAAAAAGTTTAGCTATCGAAAGTGTGGGGAATATCGGGTAAAAAAAGACAGACACACAATCATGGAAAAGGACACATACATTTACATAGTAGAAAAACACTTTGAAAATAACATTCTGTTCGATTGTTTAAACATAGCTATAATGAAGCATTCTGCCACGAAATCTAGAACTCCTTCAATCAAAGACTCCTCGGGAAACAACAGCCAAGCCTTTCCTCCCCCCCCCCCCACCCCCTCTCACTTTTCGATAAATTATTTTAGCTAGATCGCAGTGAAATCAGGCTCTCATAAAATTGTGGTCGCCTGGTGCTAATGGTATAACTGTAAAGCTCGTTAATTTGTCTTAATTTTAATGAACAAATATTCATCTATCTCAAACAGACTTCGAAATATTTACGGTTGAAGGAGTTGGGAGTTGCCTGGTGTAAGTGGTAAAATTAGCGAAAAATGGCCACCAAAAAGCAGAAATCCCAAAGTTTGAGTCTTCGTGGAAACTACAAACTTACGTTTGGTGTGTCTTTGATAAGCATTTTTTTTTTCGAGTAACAAAATAAGATAATTAGAACATGAAGAATGACAGAGTATAAGAATATTTGAGAAAACATAGACCCCCCCCCCCCCCCTCCCCCAACAAAAAATAAATTTTAAAAAAATAGATTATATAAGTATAAAATAAAACGACACTTAAACCAGAACACCAAGAGTATATTCATTATAAGATATTACATAACGTCACTGCGTTGTATAATATGAAACAGCAAAAATATCTCCTGTGATCCCACGGCTTTCCATAGATCACCTTGGCCGTTCCATCATTCAGCGCAGTCTCCCCAATCAATACGAACGACCGGGCAATCGTTCTCAACACGAGTTTTCGCATATCGAACGGTTCGACTGACATGGTGCGCGTTCACGTACTACCATCCTATCATCTGTTTTAATTTAAGCCGTAACGCACCGGTGCTTACATAAAACCTCTCCACGGCCCCCCGCCCCTACGAACGTCATCCCTGTATAACTGTATATCCATACACACTTGACTTGAATGACCGGAACAAAGCCGTTTTGTTTTCATTGCTAAAAATCTTTTCGAGTGGGGAAAAAGATGAGTTGTTACTAAACCATATTCTCTCTCTCTCTCTCTCTCTCTCTCTCTCTCTCTCTCTCTCTCTCTCTCTCTCTCTCTCTCTCTTTTGCTGGCTCTCTTTTCATGGGTCTTTGCTCTTTACCATTATTGCCCGGGTCTTAGGAGTAAGGGAGAGAGCGCAATTTACTAAGTAAGGTAAACAGGATTGCAGCTATAGACATGTGTAAAAGTACGGAAAAACCCCGTAATATTAATATGTAACTACGTCACTTCGGTATAGATGTATGTGCTCTCTCCCAAACGGGTTGAATGCCTGTTCTACAGGTGTATAAATAAATACATTTTTAGAGAATGTGTTGTAATGTGTGCATATTCAAAATTAAATTTTTACAAAAGGAGAAAGTATTATAATATATAATGTATTTGTGGTGGCCGAATTTTGCAATTCAAAAGGCTTTTTAATGGTTTCATCGATCGACATGCGGTTTTCACCAAAAGATTCTATAAAAGTTTCTCCAGAGCATGACGCCCTTGGTTTTTTTCAGTTTTGAGACAGTTTTGCTTCAAAAAGCTATATTTCTTTATCTCGCCGACCGCTTTTGTAGGCTGACGCTTCTGTCTCTGTAATTTTAGAAAATCCGGAAGTGATATTTTGCGAAGCGCGTTTTGTTTTGAGAGTATAGATTTAGATTCTAGACTTTATAATTTTTTCCATCTCTCAAGATGTATTGCCCCCATTCCAGTAGAGTGTAAATATAGTAGGCCAATGACTTTCAGTTGATATTAAAGCACCGGCCAAGACGGTCAGAGAACGGTTAGTATAAGAACGTATAGGCACACACACACACACACACACAC